AATTGATGTTTAATTAAAACTTCTATTGTACGTTACTAATATCACTCACACTCAACCAACCTGAGAGTTCTTGTTAAACTTAGCAAGCAAAAAGTTATGCTAAGAAACCAAACCTTTAGAGAATTCTCTACTGGTAACAAGGGAATATGCCATTCAGACTCATTATGGTAATATCTTACTCTTTAACCAAGTAAACAGAAAATAACTCATAGAAATAAATGAGAAAATTAAACATATGCTGGAATATATGGAAAAGCTTGTGAATGCTTTGTGTATTTTTATATAAGTTTGTTACACTGACAGTATTTTCCCTGAGGTCCTAGAGGTGCAACACCGTGACAGTGTGTCTCTTATTTTACGAGAAATTCAGTTGTAAGCATGAAACAAAGTTTGCTTCGGTTAGGATACTCTATGCATTTTTTTATTGTTTCAAAGAAAATGTTTTATTTTTATAGTCTCTGTCTTTACCACAGTCACTGGTTTAGAAAGAGATTTTTCATCTAGCTGTAATTTGGACTGATAGTTTGCTCTGTTAAAAACAAGCATGTGGTATGATGAACACAGTATATGATATATTGACTTTACATTTTTTAATCAGAACTTTCTGAGACTTTCACAGAAAGGGTACTGTTTTTACTTCACTTTGATTACTTATTTTTAGGTCATATGTTCTTTTTATTCAAAGTTCAAATTATTGTGCTTGAGGACCCAGCACAAAATAGAACCCTAAAGTTAATCCTCAAGGTATTCTTTTCTCTGTATTATTCCTCAACTTGAAAAATATTTGAAAGATTCCTTTTTTCCCCCTACCTGTTATCCAGCACTTTGCTGTATAGAGATAGCTTAGAATAAAATGGGTAGCCCCATGGATCTGGTGAATTTGTGGAAAAAGTTATATGACAAGAGTAGGGGACGAAAGTGGTAGAAAAGAGGAAGTGAGGGTTTTAGAAGTAAGAATCATAACAAGATCTCAATTTTTCCAAAAGTTCAGTGTGTAATTAACTGCATTTTTAAAAGTATGTTCCCCAGCCATCAAAGGACATTTGTGGGAGATTAATCCATTAATATTCCATCCTCTTTTTTCCCAGTCCCTCTCTACCAGGGAAAAGGGTATATGACATAGGAAAAACAATATACAAGTTCTACAGCCTCACAGTTTGAAGACAAAAGTTCAGAATGCTTTTAAAAATATTCTAGATTCTAAAACTCACAGAAACGTCAAATCCTTGTGAATATCAAATAGTCATACCGATGGCAGGATAGGCAGCTCACTGAATTTAAGATTGTAGATGTTGAAAATTTTCTTTTGGAATGATGTTGTAGTTGATTGTAATGTAAAACACAGTTGCTTAGCATAAAGTCAATATGGATATCAAAAAAATGCATTGGGGGGATTTAATGAAGTCTTCATTGGCCGTGGCAGAAAGGCAGTTTTCAGACTTGCATGGTGGAGCGTTTTGATGTATCCAGGCAATGTTCATGTCAGAGCGGGGTCACGCAGATTGCACGTGTGGTTGCATAACCATGTAACCCAGGATCAGAGACAAGACAATTGGGGTATGTCACGTCACATTTTCCAATATGCTGGATCGTTCTGGAGGCAGCAGTGTAGATTATGGTGCATACTGACATAAGCCTCAGGGGATCTGCATCTAAACCCTGACTTTACCACTTAAGATTTATATAAATTTGGACAACTCATTGAACCTTCTTAAACCTCAGTTTCTTCTTTGAGAAAGCAAGGTAACACTAGAGCCTCGTTTTCTATTTGACAGAATTTTTCTGAGGATTAAATGATCTCAAATATATAAAAGAGATATGTACATATACATGTGTAGGTATGTATCTATGTAAACTACAAAGCTTTGTAAAATTTAGATTGTTACTACTGCTGCAAAAAGGAATTGAAGTTTTTTACCTTTTCAACATAATCCCATTTATAAAACAGGCTTATTGATCCAAGTTGGTGATCGGGGTTTTTAAAATTTGACCTCAATAAACTGCGGAATCATCGTGCAGACATTTCAAACCAATGCCTCTTAAACAGAATTATTCATAACAGTTTTCTTCAGAACTTAACATTGAGTGCCACTGTCCCTTGGAAATGCAATACAAACATCTTAATTTATTTTCAGTTAGTAGTTAATTGGCTTTAGGATGTATATTATCAGTTCTTACTAGTCCTGAGAGTTTTCGGAGTCCTGAGAACTGACCTCATTTCCATTTTGTGGAGCATTAATAGGTCACATACTACCATCGCCTACACTGAGCAAACTTTCAGAAAAACACAGTAGACTGCGAAAACCTCGGCTTCCTTCTGTGACAGCTTAACTCACTGATCTTTCTCTCCCAACATTCTACAGAACAGGGGGCTAAAACCAGCTGCTTAGAAAGAGTTATGTTAGATAAGATAGTCCCTCCCAAAGATGTATAAATAATCATAGATTTCCTATATAACAACTGTATCCAAGTGATAAAAGGAATTTAAAAAACTTCACTCACCAACAACCTCAATTATAAACTAGGAGTAAACTCAAACTTTTTCAAATAACATTGTAGAAATCTTGTATTCATAGTAATACATGATATATTACTGAGTCATAAAACTATGTCAAATGATGTTTAGCTGGAGAGTGAATGCTTCAGCATAGTCAAGAAATTCTTCAAAAAAGGAGTTTCCTACTGGATATAAGAATGTAATATAATGCTATAGACATGTATAAATCTGGTACTGGTACTAAAATAGATAAATATATCAGTAGCCCAGAACAGAGAGACCAAAGATAAACTCAGTTATGTATGGGAAATCATATATAACAAAGGTGACTCTTCAAAGTAGTGATCCAGTTGTCAAAATAAATGGTGTTTGGACAGTTGGACATTTGAGGGAAACCAGGTCGATCCCTACCTCAACCTTTTAGAGAAATAAATTTCATGTGGATTACATATCTCAATTCAGTATAGTAGTATATAATATGTATAAGCGTATATCTGTATTATATATATATATATATATATATAAAACTGTACCAGAAAATATGGGTGAATACATTTATGCTCTTGAAGAGATGATGGTCTTTCCAAGTATGACCTAGAACTCAAGGGCCAAATATTCTGTGATTTGCTGATTTGATTGCACAGAAAATTAAAATTTCCATACAGTGAAAGAAAGTGAAGAGGTAAACTACATGAACTGTATAGCGAAGAGCAAACAGGATGGGAGAAAATACCGAGCTTCTACAAATCAATAACCAAGACAGACACCCTGAGTAGACAAATGAGCAAAAGCTAAGAGGAAGCAATTTACTGAAGAACACAAATGACCAGCTAACACAGGGAGAGATGCTCTACCTCACCAGTAAAAAATAATTAAATACAACGTTTTTAATCAGGCTGAGAAAAATGTCTTGAGATTCTGTCTGCTATTTACAAGAGATGAGAAAGCTAGTACTCTCTAACACGCTATAGTTTGGGAGTGCTATTACAAAATATCGATTAAAATCTCAAATGTACATGCTGTTTCTCTCACCCAACAACATCACATCACAGAATCCATGTTAGCACAAGAGAAGAACAATACATCTGTAAGGATGTCTATCTATTACCAACTGTCATTTGAGAAAAGGGAAATAATATAAATTTCCCTTAAGTGGGATGAATAGATAATTTAATTATGTAACTCCAGCAATGAAAACTGCGAGCCTGATGAGGTAGAAGAGCATCTACACAGGCTGACATGTGAAAGGGCCTCGATCTACTGTTAATTTCAAAAAACACTTATATAGACTAATAGACATAATGTTTTAGAGACATAGGTCAAATTGTTAGCAGCACATCTGTATGAAATGAGGCTAGCGCACAAAGACTCACTTTTTAATGTCATATCTGAGAGTACAAATTGGTGACCTGTCAGCTCGATTCAACCAGCAGCTATGGGTTTGTTTTTATTTATTTATTTATTTATTTATTTATTTATTTATTTATTTATTTATTTATTTGACTTATAGTTCATTTACAATGTTGTGTCAATTTTTGGCATACAGCAAAATTTTTCAGTCATACATGAACATACATATACTCATTGTCATATTCATTTTCACCGTGCGCTACCACAAGGTCATGAATATATTTCCCTGTGCTGTACAGTATAAACTTGTTTATTCTATATATACTTGTCAGTATCTACCAATCTCAAACTCCCAATCTGTCTCTTCTCACCCACATATTCACCCACATATTCGTATTCTATGTCTGTGAGTTTATTTCTATTTTATATTTAAGTTCATTTGTCTTCTTCTTGTTTTTTTTTTTAGATTCCACATATAAGTGATCTCATATGGTATTTGTCTTTCTCCTTCTGGCTTACTTCACTTAGAATGACATTCTCCAGAGACATCCACGTTGTTGCAAATGGCATGATGTTGTCATTTTATGGCTGAGTAGTATTCCATTGTATAAATATACCACACTTCTTAATCCAGTCACAGCAGGCAAGGTTTCTACAGAGAGAATGTTATAAAAATCAAATTCATGGGAAAACCTAGACTTCCAGCTCTCTTAAAATAAGAAGATTTGGGAACTCAGGGCCTGTATTCCTGCCTAGCAACAATTGACTGGAGCTGGAAAAATGCTGCCCCCTTGAAAAGGAATGTGCCTGCTCTGTGTTAAATTTAGTTCATGATGTTACCTGCCAGGCTTCCAGGGGCACTGGAATTTGCTTCCTTTATTTCATATGCTCTTATATTCTGTGAATTTGTTACAAGTATGTTTTATTCTTTTAAATAAAAGGTAAAGATTAAAATTTATGGTGGCACACTCTGTAAAAAATTTGTAATAAATTACAAAAGGATTTCAGTGGTGATATATTAATAGTATTGTAGTGCACTTCAATTTCTAGTAGTTATAAATCCAGCAATTTTAGTTAGCTGCCACAGAATTGAGGCCAGTTTAACGAGGAATATCCTGAATATTGAAATCATATGTTAAACGCAGCTCATCTGGTTGAGGTCTGTCCCGATGGGGCTTTTCCCATAGACCTACGTCATTTGCAACTCCTCATAGAGTAACTATGTGGTTTCCGTTACTCACAGAACTACATGTTAGATCTGTGGAAAGAATTACAAGACAGAGCTGCTAAATAAACATTGAAAAACCTAACAGTCAAACTTTTTTATCTTAGGTATTGGCAACGATCGGTACTGTTCTAGGGTGTGATGAGCTTAGGAGTAAATGATTTGAACTGAATGCATATTTAGAGGGTGTCTGAAATTCAGAACCAGGCAGATCCATCTTCCCTGACCCCAAATATGTAATAGTCCTAAAGTAAATTCCTTGAGGAAACTGGATCCCAAAGATTACAGGTGAGGAGCTTTTGAAGTGTGCTCATGTTCCACTGGAAATCAAAGAAGCCCAACTCAAAGAATTATGGACTGACTGACAGCTGTTGATTGAGCAAAAATTATTGAAAGGGCTGTCTTGAAGATTATGACTCAGACATTGGAGGAACTAAGGGTTGATGGGCTGTGGAAAGAATCAGAACATGTGTGAAATTCTTTAAAAATTTATTGACTTAAATTATGTTACACAATTAAAAAAAAACCTTTACACTTTAAAAAAATCATCTGAATCCATATGTATAGAATACCTACTATGTGCAAAGAAAAATAATAAATGCTGCATAGCTAACAAAACAAGCAGTGATATCATTCCTTTCCTTTCTAAGTCGTCCATGAGGTCTACAATAGCTGACTGGCTGCCGTACACTGACACTATTTTTTCATAGTTTTCATTATGGAACTTATTTTAACCCCTTGTTATAGCACTCAGTTATTTTCTATTCCTGCTTTCAAGAGAGCTTTACTGTTATCTCAGTAATCTTTGAACTATTTTTCCACCCTCCTGATTAATCAGTTCTGCATTTTGGGATCAAATTAATCTCTAAAACATTGCTCCAATCTTGACATTTCCCTTTTATTACATAATAATTCAGTTCTGTAATTTGGAAAATCAAAGCATGCCACAGGCTGGCCCCAATGTCTAGATTTACTGTTGTCATGTGCTCCATGTTTCAGCCAGCCCTGGGCCGCTGATGACTTTCTAAACATAATTTCAGATCTTCCATGCTCTTGATGATTTATTCTTCCTGGAATGTCAACTCTTCTGTTTCAGTTGTGGTTTAAAACCCTAGCCAGCCTTCACATCTTTAGCTCCTCCATGAAGCCTTCTGCCACTTCACATCTTTAGCTCAGGCGTCTCCTCCATGAAGCCTTCTGCCACTTCATCCTTCCTGTGAACTTCTGCTGTGGTTTGCGTGGACTCCTGACACAGCACACAGTCAGCTGATTGGCATCACAGTAATTAAGGCGTTACTCTTTTCTGCTTCTCAGTATGTTTCTAAAGATCAAGGATCGCCATCTGCAAGCACAGAATTTTGCATACTATTAAAATTCACAATTTCCACTTGAAAAATGAGACATACAAAGCTGACATTAGGCAGAAATGAGGAAGCAGACAGAATTGTAACGGGGAAGATAAAGCAGACCTAATAGAGGCATCTTATAGGCACTTCGGCTGCATTAGGGCGTTCGTGGGGGTGACGGGAGGAGGGCATCACTGCCTAAGTGTAACACGTGCACCTGGTGCCTCCTTGACAGGATGACAACAATGGAACCTCTTCTCAGTAACCACCGGGTGTCCAGCTAATGTCAACTGAGGATTCGGAGCAGGCTGGTTTGGTGTAGCCTATGTTGAGTGGGTTTGAAAGTTTAGAATGAAAAATTATTTGAGACAATGTTCTTAGGAAAGCCAGAAAACGCTTAGAGGACAGAGTGTCAGACTGGCTGCTCGGGGACTTCTGGTAACTTCTATCATTGCGAAGCTGTTGGTGGTTTGCAAATGAATCGTACTAAAGTAATCGGCCTTGACTGACCTGAGTCTGCAAGAGGAGGGGACACCAAGCCTTGATAAACCTTAACAGTCATCAGAACTTCTTATGGCTGTGAGAGATGCCATGATTTATCAGGCTCCCAGATTTATCAGGTAGCTAAAGTTCTAATGTGAAACTAGTTCAAACCTACCCCAAAAGGCCAAAAACCTTTTAGTTTATTTCAGCCAAGTCTAGACTTCCATAATAAGCCAGCCACATGGCATGTGGCAAAGAGTGGGTGCCTGATTAACAAACTAAGGGGGGTGTTACTCAAGCAAAAAAAAAAAAAAAGTTCAAATAGGCCTTCTTGGAAACATTCAGAGGATGAATGGTTTGGCATAAGGATGAACAGCCTGAAAGGTAGCCAGGATTCATTTCATTCACTATTATTTTCCCAAATGGGAAAATCCTGTTATCTTGAGATTAATGCACAGGGGAGTAGAAGCCTGGCCTTGGACTTCTCTGACATAAGTCAGCAATTAGAACACAAGCCTCCAAAAATCTGCAGATGGTCAGATTCTCTACACCAAGTGAGTTTCCCTACACTGCACTGGAGATAGACAAATCTGGAACTAGGGCAGTTCCAAATATCATTGAACAGGAAGGAAGTTCAATCTTTGTTCCTACAGGCAGGATTTCATTTGGCAGGCCAAGTAGCATCTGGGAGAGCATTAAGATATGCCTAGTGGATAAAAGGGGACCCTTGTGCACTGTTGGTGGGAATGTAAATCGGTGCAGCCACTTTGGAAAACAGTATGGAGTTTCCTCAAAAAATTAAAAGTAGAACTATCAGATGATCCAGCAATTTCACTCCTGGGTACTTATACAAAGAAAACAAAAACAAGTTTGAAAAGATATATGCACCCCTATGTTTACTGCAGCATTATTAATAATAGCTAAAACGTGGAAGCAGCCTAAAAATGCCCGTCTATAGATGATTGGATAAAGTAGATGTAGCTTGTGCGTGCGTGCATGCGTGTGTGTGTGTGTAGTGGAATATTATGTAATTATAAAAACAGAATGAAATCCTGTCATTTGTGACACCATGAATGGACCTAGGGGGTATTATGCTAAGTGAAATAAGTCAGAGAAAGACAAATACCGTATGATTTTCTGTACTGTACAATCTAGAAAACAAGCGAATTGAACAAACATAACAAAACGGGAACCGATAGATACAGAGAACAAACACATGGTTACCAGAGGGAAGGGGAGGTGGGGAGAGGAAAGAAATAGCTGAGGATGATTAAGAGCTACAAACTTCCAGTTATAAAATAAATGAATCACGGGGATGAAATGTACAGAAGAGGGAATACAGTCAGTAGTAATGTAACATCTTTGTATGGTGACAGATGGTAACTAGACTGACCCTTGTGATCATTTTGTTATGTACAGAAGTAATGGGTTGCTACATTGTGCACCAGGAGCTAAGGTAGTGCTGTAAGTCAATTACACTTCAAAAAACAGACTCATGGAATAAGAGATCCGATCTGTGGTTACCAGAGAGGGGGAGGGGGAACTGAATGGAGGTCAAAAGACAGAAACTTTCAGTTTAACTAAGTGTTAGGGTTATAATCTACAAAATTATTATTATAATTAACACTGCTGTGTATTAAACATGAAAGTTTTTGACAGTAAATCCTGAGTTCTCATCACAAGGGAAAATTTTTTTTCTTTTATTTTGTATCCATATGAAATGATGGGTGTTTCACTATACTTACTGTGGTAATCATGATATACACAAGTCATATTATGCTGTATACTTTAAACAATGCTGAATGTCAAGTATATGTCAATAAAACTGAAAAAAAAAACCCAACCACTTGGAGTTTATTAGTGTTGGTGACAAAAGTTGTACAGCTACCCTTTGTATCAATGGGGGACTGGTTCCAAGACCCACCCCCACCCCCAGTACCAAAATCTGAGGATGCTTAAGTCCCTTATATATAAAATGATGTACCATTTGCATATAACCTATGCACAGCATCCAATATACTTTAAATCATCTCTAGATTACTTATAATATCTAATACTACTATGTAAATTATTGTAAATACTATGTGAGTGCTGTGTAAATCATTTCTGGCACACAACAAATTCAAGTTTTGCTTTTTGGAACTTTCTGGAATTTTTTTTCCCTGAATGTTTCCATGCTGCAGTTGCTTTAATCCAGGGATTCAGAACCTGAGAAGTCGGAAGGCCAACTGTAGATGAGAGCAATGGATTGTGAATCAGGTAAACATCAAACAAAAAGATGCAGAAATGTGAGGACAATTTTTTTTCTTCTTCCTTTTTTTTTTTCTTTCTCTCCCTCCCTCCCTTTCTCCCCCTCCCTCCCTTTCTCTCCCCAACACCTTCCTTAATGAGACATACCAGCTCTTGTCTAATGGCTCTTTAAAACGGCCACTGGATACTTGACTAGAATTTCAGGACCACCAGTCTAAGTCTGCTATAGATGTGAACATATCTCAGTAGCCCCTGAGTAAATCATTACACAGTTAATACTGGTAGAGACTGTGAATCATTAAGCTTAAATCATGTTTGTTTTTACTGTAAATGTATAAAATTAGTCATATGAGTGTATTTTTCACATTATATTTGATTGTACTTATATGAGTTCATTTTTGATAGCCAACATATGCACGTGATTCAAAATTGACATTCCTGTCCCAGTGACGTAGTCCCCTTTCCCAGAGACTATCAATGATACCAATTTCTTGTATATGCTTCCAGAAATTGTTTTTGCACACACAGTTACATGCACAGGCATTTAACACACCTGTATAATTAGTGTTAATGCCTGCACATTAATGTTAATTGTTATTAATGTAACAGAAAAGAACGAATCTGACTCCATATTAGGTCTGTTTCTTTGGCTTTAACTCTGTGCCCTGTTTTCTAGGCTTAGTCTTGCTGGCTCTGCACCTTTTGTGAAACAATGTTGCTGTTAGCCTGAAATAGACAGGAGAGCCTATTTTCAAGGCTATGACCTTTAAGGATATTAACACTTTTGCACTTGTAGAAAGACAACAAGTTGCAGAATAGAAAATAACATTTGTTTTGTTGGAGGTTTACAGGAACACCATGATCTGACCCTCCTGGCTGGTGGCAAGAACAAAGAATTTCTGCAGCAAGAAGTTTGCAACAACCAACCACACCCCTTCCCCTATTTTTTTTTTTTTTTGTATAAAAAGAGCCTGTATTC